GTTGCGAACAACCCTATCAAATTTCTCATGCTAGAGTTTTGGTGCCTGCTTAAGTCCATATAATGACTTAACAAGTTTACAAACCTTACCAGCTGGAGCATCAAGTCCTTCTGGTTTCTCCATGTAGATCTCTTCTGTGAGATCTCCATTGAGAAAGGCAGTCTTCACATCCATCTGATTTATGACGAATCTTTTAATCGCCGCCCATGCGATAAGTACTCTGATGGTAGTGATCCTGCAAACTGGTGCATAAATATCAAAGAAGTCTATACCTTCTTTCTGAGAGAATCCTTTTGCCACCAGTCTTGCTTTGTACTTTTCAATAGTACCATCAGGATGGAGTTTCTTCTTGAAGATCCATTTGCATCTGATAGGCCTTGCACCTTCAGGTACGTCCACCAGCTCCCAAGTGTGATTTTGGATCAATGAATCCATCTCATCATCTATAGCTTCTTTCCACAGAAGAACGTCTGTTGACTGCTTTGCTTCTTGAAAAGTCTGTGGATCTCCTTCCACATTATAGGTGATGAAGTCATCTCCAAAATATTTCTGTCTTCTGACGCGCTTGGAAGATGGTTCGATAACTCCTTCATTATTGACTGGCTCCTCTTGTGCATCTGATGTACTAGCATTCTCTGCTATATCTTTGAGCAATAAGCATGTATGTTTGATAAACTTATCCTCAAAGAATTCTGCATCCCGAGCTTCAATGATGGAGTTGGTTCCAAGGTCCAAGAACCTGCACGTATTGTTATCTCCAGCAAAACCAAGAAATACACATTTGTTTGCCTTTGGTCCGAGCTTAGGCCTTCTGATGTCTGGTATTCGAACGTATGCGAGACACCCCCACACTTTGAGATTATCCAAAGAATCTGGATATCCCAACCATAACTGATGAGGAGTATTATCAGTTTTGGAGTAGGGTACTCTGTTCAGAATTTAGTTTGCCATTAGTAAAGCATCTCCCCAATAGCAGGTAGGTAGACCAGATGTGATCAGCATCGAATTTACCATCTCGGTCAATGTGCGATTCTTTCTTTCTGCAATCCCATTAGATTGTGGAGAATATGGAGCAGTAGTTTCAGCAATGATTCCATGCTCCTTGAAGTATACTTCCGACTCCTTAGATCGGTACTTTCCTTCTCTGTCGCTCTTGAGTCTTTTCACCTGCAGTCCAAGTTGCTTCTCCACTCGAGTCCGAAACTCAACAAATTTGCTGAATGCTTCATCTTTAGATTTTAGCAGGTAAACGTAGCAGAAGCGAGAATGGTCGTCGATGAAGGTGATAAAGTACTTCTTGCCGCCACGAGTGACGAAGCTTTTGAAGTCACAAGTATCTGAATGGATCAGATCCAACAGGTTGGTGCTCCTCGTGACACTTGAAAATGGCTTCCTTGTCAGCTTTGCTTGCGCGCAAACTTCACATTTCTCAGGTTTGTTACCCCCACATTTTGGAAGTAATCCTAACTTCTCCATACTGGATAATTTTCTATAATTTACATGTCCCAGCCTATTGTGTCATAACACAGAGGTGTAAGCAGAAGAGGATACTTCATTTACAATGGGATTGGGTGCACTCGTACTGATTTTATACATGCCATCAATACGATATGCATTACCAAAATACATTTTCTTGAAGGATAATACATCCTTTCCTCCTTGGAAATCCAGCCTCATGCCTGCATCACACAGCATGCTTCCGGAGACTAAGTTTTTGGCAAATGAGGGAACGTGTTTCACATCCTTCAATGTGAGAGTCTTTCCCGAAGAAAGAGTCAATACCACAGTCCCAGTTCCAAGAACAAGAACCATAGAATGATCAGCCATTGATACGTTCTCTTTAGTAGCAACATAAGAAGAGAACATATCTCTATTGGAGCATACATGACAAGTAGCACCCGTATCTAACCACCAACTAGAGATATTGCTTGGAGTTGTTACCTGGAAGAGCATAGCCACACAATCATCAACTTGATTGACATTGTGCGTTGTTTCCTTCTTTGGTGCTTTGCAGTCTTTAACAAAATGTCCTTGCTTCCCACAGTTGAAGCACTTGCCGCTCTTCTTGAACTCCTTCTTCTGAACATTCAAGTTCTTCGGATTCTGGTTCTTCTTTCTGTTAAAAGACTTCTTCTTCTTGAAAGATGAATTATTACTCTTTTCAGAGTTAGCAGCCACCATGTTAGTAGACGCATTCTGCTTAGCAAGGAGCTCAGTCTTCGTGCGAGTTCGAGTCTCGTCCTCGATCCGAATGAACCTCTTCAAATCAGATAGAGTCACATGTCTTTTCCTTCTCCGAATGTCAGTGGAGAATGGCATCTAAGATGGAGGAAGTTTGTTGACAATTGCACCAGAGATGAAGGTTTGACAAAGACTAATCTTTTCATCCTTCAGCTTCATAACAAGCTTTTCAAGCTCTTTGACTTGAGGTAAAACCTCAGTATCATCTTCGAACTTCAAGTCCAGAAATTTATCAATGAGGTGAGATTTGGACAGCTTCTCCTCATCCTTGTACTGGTCCTCCAGAGCATTCCAGATTTTCTTTGCAGAGGGCTTGTTGGTGTAAGTATTTGCTAAATGATCGGCCAGGCAGTTAAGGAGATAGTGATCATCTCTAGCCCAAGAGGCTTCAGCTTCAAGATCTTCTTCAGAGTCTAGTTTTTCCTTAGAAACCACATAGTAGATTTTCAGGAGTTGCATCCCGAAAATCACTTTCCGACGCCATGCGTTGAAGTTGGAACCGTCAAAGTTCTCTAATTTAAGACAATCCACTCCAAGAGTCCTCGCAGGATCCATAGTAGATCAAAATAATGCTTTAAGAATGTTGGCGCATGTGGTTAAATCTGGAATAATACAGATATAAAGCAGTAAATAACTGAAAGAAATCTGAAGTACAGTAATTTAAAATTTTCAACTCAGCTGCTGTGCGTTTGTAAAACGCTGTGCTTAAAGCATTATTTGGCCTACTCCGGTGCAAGGATCCCAAGGGCAAATTGCTTCCAGGAACAGCAGTCCAGTACTCTGGTGTGCACCAACCCAGTACTGTCAAGATCTCCTCGATCTATCAGGTAAAGATCTCATTGATCTATCAGGCAAAGATCTCCTCGATCTCCTCAGGCAAAGATCTTCTCGATCTCCTCAGACAAAGATCTCCTCGATCTCCTCAGACAAAGATCTCCTCGATCTATAAGACCTTCTCGGTCTGGGCACTGTTCCTACTAGCACTAGCTATTCTACAATATATATCTGTATATATTGGTTTCTCGGTCTGGGCACTGTTCCTACTAGCACTAGCTATTCTACAATATATATCTGTATATATTGGTTATTATTTTTGAATGAATTTTTCATAAGGATTTGAGGTCTATTTATAGCGTTTGGAAAAATACTATGCACTAATAAAATATTATATTTTACTATGCATGTGGGGCCCACGCTCTTTATTTTTCAACAATTACAGCTGCTTTCGGTGCAGAGAGGTTTCAACCACGTTTTTATTTTCATTTTCAAAAAATATGTGGGACCCACCAATTTGTTTTTCTTCAAATTGTCAAAGAAGGGAGGTGCTTTAGAAGAAGATGATGCTGGCAAAATAAAACGTGGGCGGCTGTCAAAGAAAATGGGGCCCACCCATTAAAATTATCTAACAGGTACATATTTGTAAGTGATTGGTCATGGTGATTACCTAAATAGCTCATGCTATTACCATTTTCTATCGAAAAAACTTTTTGGCTCGCGGACCAACCGCGAGCCAATTGGGCCCCCCACTGCTGGGGGCCCACCCCCCTGTTCCTCTCACGCGAGTTGGGGCTCGCGGTTGGACCGCGAGCCAAATAGCGGGGTTCATTTTCTATATAGGCTGTATGCTTTTAATAGTTTTGTTATGCACAGTGGCCAACTGGGGAGTAGTGAAGATGACGATTTGGATGTGATACAATAATAGCATTTTAAAACCCGAGAACAAATACTCTAAATCGGTCAAACCGGACATGACAAGCTTATTGTGTATTTGACATGCATTTAATGGGTCCACAGACTTTTTCTTACTGCTGTGATGGTTATATTAAGCTGTTATCATATAATCATGTTCCCTAAATCTGATAAAAGAATGCATCTTACTGGTTATAATATATACGGTCTCCTGACAAGAATACGGTGGAACCAATAATTTTTACTATTTAAACAGCAAACTTGTGTCTTCGGAAATTTAAGGTGTTCCAGAGAATAATAACATCAGCAGGCCAACCTATCGTCTAAATAGGATAATGTTAAGCTGTTCAAGAGTATGGTAAATCAGCAGGTTATTATTCAATGTCTAAATAGGATAATGTCTAAATATGATAATTCAATGCCGTACGTAACCTTGCGTCTGCTACCTCCATATGATTTTTTCCCCATATAGTCACTTCCAGGTAATTGTGGAAGTTGTTAATTTACAAAATTATAACTACGATCATTGTATGTTATAGTAAAAGCTCACCTACATAATGCGCTCCTCTGAAAAGAAATTTGAATCTGTTTAGAAGGAGAGTCGTCGTTTTGATGGCGGAAATGGGTATTGTATATGATTTACCATGTTAAGATAAGGGTAGAGTTTATATAGTGGCGTTCCTACAGTAGCATGTATCTGTTTAGGTAAAATAACCATTATTTTGTAAAGGTTAATTGTGGATAGACCCCCTGTAGTATTGCCGCTATGAACATTGGAGCTAAAGGAATAAATGCAACTGCCATCTTTCCCTTTTTTCTCGTTTTTCTGTCTAACGAGGGATGCCATTGCAGTTACACTACCACATAATTGATCTATTGCAGCGGTTAAGTTGCAACGGTTTTAACTGTTGCGTTAGATATCTATCGTAACGGTTTATATTGCAGCGGTTTATAAAAAAATGTTGCTATAGGTCTAATAATTATTCTTGGGCTTCATAATTGTTCCTGGGCTTAATAATTATTTTTAAAGCCCATGCCCCTGACCGTTTAAACGAAATATCTCTTTCTCTCTCTCAAATCCTGACGGAAATCCCTAAGCCAAAAATTTCCGCTCCCTAAAATCGTCGTGGCGTCGTCAATCTCATCACTGAACTCGTCGCCGTTTCATCTTGGATCTCATCTCCAATCTCCTCTCCGATATTATCTTCGTCGTCGAGCTACTCTCGTTGCTTTTTCCACCGAGGGCGAGCACTGAATCACAATGGTAGGGAGTTTTCTAGGGTTTTCTCGACACATCTTTTCTCACGGTCTCTTATCAAATCAGGTGGTTAGATCTTTCCTAGTGAAGATCGAGGATAGAATTTGATTTCAGGTAGACTTTTGTGTTTCTAATCTCTTACTTCACTTTTTTGGCATTGAATTGTTCGATTCCGAGCTCGACTGTGCTCCTACTTAGCTTTTGAATGTTGATGCGGTGACTGAAAACCCTAGCAGTCGTTTTGTTTTTGAGCCCCAAATCTCCTACTTAGTGTAAATTTGATGTGGGTATATAAGAGTAGTGATACCCCCCACCCCCCAGGTTTCTTTTTCCCCCGAAAATGGGTTCAATTTGATTTATGTTGTCCATCCACAGGTTTGAGGAAGTTGCCTTCAACTTTAATTGGGGGAAGGATTCCACTGTAATAGTTTCTTCATGTTTGTTTGTTTATGTGAAGTTCAGATTGGCATTATTGAAATTTGTAAATTTGATTCTAATTAATTTAGATGCAATTGGTTCTGCAGGTCTTGCTGCATTTACTACGAGCTGGATATTATTTGCATAAAGAGAAAACGAAGCAATCCAATGGAAATCAGTTGGATTCTATTCCAGAGTGTAGAATAAGGACTATCAACTTTGAAACTCCCTGTGCTTTTCCGGAAATCAATTCATTCACTTATGAAACAGCCTCTAAGTAAGAATGCTATATTAATTTTCTTAAATTTTGCAAAATGCGAGATTATTACTTTTAATAATGAACTGCTGATACTTTTGGCAGTTATGACTTGCAATTGGAAATTATTAGCCTTGATTTCAAGTCTGGGTTAGAGACTCTAATGAAGGAAAAAACCTATCAAAGCTATTTTTCTTGGTACACGAATTGGCGACCCTAATGCGGTATATAATTTGTTGAATTATTTCCTTTGTTAGAAAGCTTGTGCTTAGTACTTTGAATATAAGGTTGTTGAGTATTAAACATATTACATTGATCTTGTAGGTTGGCCAAGAGTAGTTCTCTCCTAGCTCGCCAGGATGGCCCCCTTTCATGAGGGTGAATCCTATCTTGGATTGGTCATACAGGTTTTATTTGGTTATACTTGTATATTTATCAGTTGTTAACTCTTATCCTTGTATGTCCTCTTTCTGAGAAACACTGGTAATGTTATTGTATTTAATTGCAGGGATGTGTGGGCTTTCTTATTGACCTACAAGGTTCAGTACTGCAGCTTATATGACAAGGGGTAATATGTTGAAATACTATTGCTTCTTAGATTCCATTTTTGACTTTGTCTATCTGCTCTATATCACCCCTCATGTACTTTTCTCATTTATAGCAAAAGAAAAGATGATATCATTTTATAATTGTTATGATCTGTGAAGCACTAATATGGATAATAGAACAAAATTTGTCACCACAAAGTTACACAAATATGAAAGATATCAAAGCTTTCTAATTTAGAACACAAATAATTAAATAAAGTATGGACGCCCAAAAAGCACGGTCTTCATGGTAAATCCTAAACAAGGCATACTCTTTGTAATTCTAATATTAGCTGCTGTTAAATACGTTTTATTAATTACCTTTTCTAATTTAACATAAAAATGAAAGAAAAATCATATTTCAAGACATGCAATGCATACAAGAAGTATACGACAAATAACCAAAAGATTGAAATTGTATTAGTATGAGGATACATTAGAGAAGTGTCAGACAAATATTTAGTGAAAACTCAAGAAATTTTTGGTTGGGTATGTGTTCTGCGTTATAGTCAATGATAGAAACATCTTATTTTGGACAGACACGACCCTGTTGACATGGATACTAACACGACAGATTCTCGGAAGGTCGCAAGACCCAGTATTCATCACCACATGGTTTTGACGATAGACATGTCCAAGATACATAGGAAATATCTAATGCTTCATAGGTTAAGACATAATAGGTAATGTATGTGAAAAGAAATTGAATGGCACATGGATCCACTTTGTCACTGCGACGACCGACATTTCTCCTACCCGTCCCTCCAATAAAAAATAAATAAATAATAACAATAAATAAATAAGAAAAGATTCTTTGTTATATGCATGTTGGTTAGGTCAATTTCACCCTATGGGCCTGTAGTTATGCATGTTGGGCCTTTAATTAGTTAGGTTACTTTGTTGGAAGGGGCCTATGCTTAAGATTCTTCTAATATACGTAACCATTTTCCATACTATGCTACCAGATGTTGCAAATTTTTTCTTTGGGGGTAGGGACCCCCAATTGTGTTCCTGGCTTTGCCCCTGCTCACTAGAGCTTTTACAGTATGAAGCTTGTTAAATGCACCATGTCTGGCCTTATTTGATGAGAAGTTTTTTGTGAATATGATGGGTGATGATAACACAGATTACATTCTTTCAATGTTTCAACTTATTCCATATCACTTGCTAGCTAATACTTCCTTTTTCAGGTATACTTCCATTGGAAGCATACACGCCACCATCCCATCAATGAAATAATGTCATGAAGCAAGAAAGACATGGATAATAGCTGCTTTCAAGGGAAATAATTTAGGAATGACGGACACAAGGGGCAGATTTCATCAGAAAAGTGTATATACACCCACACATATATTTATATTACGTGGTTTGTCTAAAGAAATTGTACACATGTTCTGTGCTTGTTGCAGGTTGATAAGGATGAGGTGCGGCTACGTCGGACAATTGGTCTGAAAAAGGATGAATATTTTTTGAATGCGAAGCATGTCACGTATGATTTTCTTATACATCTGCTATTATGATACTACTTCCACCTGTCCTTTTGAAATATGCATTGTGATATTTATTATTATTATTATTATTTTGCAGCAAAACAGAAGTTATGAACTTGCTGGAAAGTGCTGGTTTCTCTCGGTCCAATCCTTACTTTGTTGTTCAGCAAGGGAAGGTGTGTGCGTGTTCCTAGCTGGCTGATTTTGCAATTCATTCTTTCTCTTATTAAGTTGCATATATCTCTTCTAAACACTAGTCGTAATGGTGTGCAGATAGCATCTCTGACCTTAATGAAAGATTCTGAATGTCTTGATCTGCTGAAGGAGATTAGTGGGACACATGTTTATGAGGAGAGACGGTGTGAGAGCTTGAAGATAATGCAAGAAACTGGCAAGTGCATTTTCATTGTGTAGTAAGTAACCCTGATGTATAACAATAGTGTCCTAATGGTGCCATCTGATGTGTCAAACAGAAAACAAGAGAAAACAAATAGATCAGATTGTTCAGTATTTGGAAGAGAGGTTAAGGGAACTGGATGAAGAAAAAGAAGAATGAAAACTTGGAGTTCAACCCTAAATAGGAACATGAAGCTGTAGCAGTAGCTCATGAAAACTTGGAACAGGCAGTTTATCTAAAGATATATTTGTATAACTTTTGCCACTAAATTCCCTCTAGATAACTCAGAACATTTCATTTTGGGTGCTGTATACGTGTTGGATACATGTCAGACACTGATTCTTAGCCACTAGTAAAAAGATGGTCAGCCCCAACAGTTGGTAGGAACTGTTGGGGCAAGTTTTAAAAGCCCCAACGGTTCTACCAGTTGGGGCATTTTCGTTTTCACCGAAAAAAATTGGGGAGAATTTTTCCCTCAACTTTTTTAACCCAAAAAAACCAATCAAGCACCAAAAAGTCCCGATCTCTCTGAAAAATGCCCCGCCATGCCCAAACTCCTCTCTCTCTCTCTCTCTCTCTTCGATCCTCTCCTCCTCAGCCTGACCTCTCCTCCTCAGCTGCCGCCTCCTCTCCCGTCGAAACCCCCAAACTCTCCTCTCGATCTCTCTCTCTCTCAAACCCTGCCTCCGACCATCTCCCCAGTGTCGCCGCAGCTAGCCTGGCCTCTCCGCCTCAGCCGCTGCCTCCTCTCCTGTCGAAACCCTAACCCAACTTCGCCTGCATCCTCCTCTCCCTTGAAAACCCTAACCCTAATTTGCCCGCCTCCCTTCCCCACAAATCTCTAACCCTAATTTTGCCTCCTCCTTTCTCTTACATCCCTCTCTCTCCAAAATCCCCCAAGCTCCACCTTGCCGTCACCAGTAGGAGCGCGCAGCCACCGCCTCCTTCTCCTCTAGCAGTTCTTCGGCCGCTGCCTCCTCCTCCATCTCAAACATCTAAGCTCGCTGGTGAAGGTAACGTTATGATGTAATAGAGATATTTTGCATTAGATCTCTGCTTGGATAGCAATGTTTGATTCTTTGCTTGATAGATTAATTAGTTGCATAATGTGGTATAATTTATTTTCTTTTAGACCACTGGATTTGTATCATTATTGGAAAAAAGTGAATGAGCGTCTTCTCTTCTCAAATTAATTCTTATTTTGTCCTTTTGCATTTACTGTTGCTTTCTTGCCCTTTTCCTTTTAGTAAAGTGTAATCTGATAAGTAGAATATGAGTAGTGATCATAATGCTTCCTGGTAGTATAGAGATGATCTATTTAGACCCGTTGATGACTAATATTGTTCCATCAATTTAGATTTTTACAAAAAATTCAGACTATCTGTGGCACTGATTGCTTATCTATATACAAGTTTGTAATTTCTTCTGTTTTCTTTTTGTAATCCCAAGTTAATTGAACTATAATTTTTTTACTCCACGTTACAGAAGGTTGTTTGAGCCACCGGAGGTTGAAAGGTATTATTTTACACTTATTAAATATTTTGTCATTACACAATGTCAATATACTTCTCTATGTGAATGTTCTTTGGAACCAAGCAAAAAAAATATACTATCATAGGTGTTAACAAAATTTTTAGAGTATATAAATGAGTATACTATCATAGTGTAAAAAAATATACTATCATAGGTGTTAACAAAATTTTTAGAGTATATAAATGAGTATACTATCATAGTGTGAGGGGTGTATCTATAATTAACCCTTATTATTGGTGACTAACTTGGAATTTGGTGATGTTGTGTTGTAGGAGATAAAGTTCTCTTGGTTCAGAGATGGAAGAGTTTGCATGGCAAACTCTGGCTGGCCTTAATCCCCTTAGCATTCAGTTGGTTACTGTAAGCTCAGATTTTCCATTTTTCTATGGATATGTTGGTAGAAAACAACACAAAAATCGATCCGCGTATTTTTTATATTTGACTTCATAATCAACAAAATATTGCATTTTTGGGATTTTATGTGTAGATATACATACATATGCATGTGTACGTTTAGGGTGATTTATCCGTATTTTTTGGGATTTTATGCGTATTTTTTCGCTTTGACAGTGGCAGGTTGAGAAAAAAATCTCCCCTGATTTCATTTTTACTATTTGGTTCGGTTAGGGTGATAGGGAAAATTTGCATAGCAAAGCCATGCCGCGTTGGAGCCCCCCTTCCCACCAACTCATTTTCTGCCTCCCTATTTCCTCTGATGCTGATTGAAATCCTATGATAGTTCTTGGTTGATCTATGGAGGTACAGTTCTAAAAATGCAATCTTTTTTAATTTATTTGATTTTTTGTGTTTTCTTTTGTTGATTTTCTTCTTCCTTTGCTTTATTAGGTTTAAATTTTGGGTGATTTATCCGTCGATCCCCATTACGATTTGTGAAACTTGCTTTAGACCCCTAATAGTTGGTCGATCTCTAGATCTTGGTGACTCTCTGCGGTGATTCTCTATTTTCACATTGCTAAAAGGAAATTAATCTGTTTATTCTGTGTTTATTCTGCGACGATTCTCTATTTTCCACATTGCTAAGTAATCTGTTTATTTTGCAGTTACTCTATAGATCTCGGTGATTTCCATTACGATTGTTTTTCACACTGTTCGATTTTTTTCAAACTGCAAGTTATATTCTGGATGTTTTTTGGTGATAAATCTGCTGATATTTGATAGGCTGACTTGCTATTTGATAGACTGCATGTTTAAAAAATTGTTTGAGGCTAATATATATTTTATGTTGTATGTTTTCAGGCTGCATGTTAAAAAGACTTATGTATGTTCAGTTCATACTTGTGTTGTTGCTATTTGATTGACTGTCTTGGAGTAAGTTTGATTATTGGTCAAGCATATAGTTTTGACATGACTGTAAAATGACTAGTTAATTGTTACTTTGTTGTTGACGATTGAGAATGTAAAATGACCAAGTACGGTTTTACCAAGTGTATTTGCAGATAAATAGCTAGCATGCTCATGTAATCTATATCAAGTTTGTATAAGATGTTGGCAAATTATCTCTGTTTCATTTTGATGTCTTGAGCTATGTACTTTCCAATGGTATTTGTGCATAATTTTTAGGTAGGGTTTTTTTTCTTTTTTTTTATTTGATTTGTTTAACAGCCTCAACGGTTGAAACCGTCGGGGCAAATATTAGCCCCAACGGTTTCAACCGTTGGGGCAAATATTTTTCTTTTTTTTAAAGTAAAAAATATTTGCCCCAACGGTTGGAACCGTTGGGGCAAACTTGGCAACCATTGGGGCTGAATCGGCCCCAACGCAATTTGTCCCAACGGTCTTTTTTTTAGCCCCAACGGTTCTAACCGTTGGGGACATGATTTGCCCCAACGGTTACAACCGTTGGGGCTGACCATCTTTTTACTAGTGAGCAGACACAACAACACGTGTGATTCAAAGTAAAACCTGATTTATCCATTACTTATAGCCCTAAACTAATTTCTTTGGTTATCTTGTTTTTCTGTTTAAGAAAACATTGAGAAAGTTATCTTTTTTAGATGAAAGTTTTTTTAGGGATACGAAGAAAAGAGTTATATTTAAAGAAATTGTGAAATAGATATTCTGTATGCAATGCTTTGTTTATGGTTTCAGGATGTATATTTTCAGGATGAAATTCTCTGATTTTGTTATGTAAGTTTACACTTATATTAATAAATCAATTACTTCCCAAAATTGCATGATGTTTCTCTCTGATTCATGTAGCCGCGTATGTGTTTGAAGATCTCTGATTTCATGTAGCTGCGTACGGTCTCCTTATTTACCAATGTTACTTGAGCTTTCTTTGACAATCAGCCAACTTGTTAGTAATTTATTCGTCCTTTGAGGATTCCTTTATGTTAAGCTATTTATTTTGAATAATTGCAATGCATTTTTCCCCAATTTTATTATCATCATTGCAAAAATTATGCTGATTCATGGAAATTTACACAGGTACAGAAATAATGAAAACCAAGATTGAGATTGATATTGACAGGTTCCTAGTGAGTATTTGACATTGAGGCACAAGTTTTTGGAAACAAATAGAGAATATAAAGTTTTTGACCGAGAAGTTTCATGTTTTATAATCAAATGTTGATGTTGTTTGAATATTAGTTCGGTACGATATTTTCTGAGTTGAAATGTTGGTAGTGTGGATTTAATACTTTGTAGTTTTTATACTATACCGATGTATATTGGCACTTATCATTATGGTTGATTATGCTCAACATTTTCACTTTGATATTGTGTATTAAAATTTGACTTGGCCATGTTCTTAAAAAGATTATCCAGGTAATTGAATACTATATGATTTTGATATAGGGAACCAAGAACAACTCAATCGGAGCCATTGCAATAGCTCAATCAAAAACGCTGCAATAGCTCGATCAAAACTGTTGCGATAGCACAATCCAAACCGTTGTGTTAGGTCTTTTAAAACTGTTGTAATAGCTATAAAAAACCACTGCACTAGCTTAAAAACCGTCGCAATAGCTCAATCCATATTGTTGCAATGGGTTAAAACACACTTGCCTTTTAAAACCGTTGCGTTAGGTCTTTTAAAACTGTTGTAAAATCTATAAAAAAAACCACTACAGTAGCTTAAAAACTGTCGCAATAGCTCAATCAAAACCGTTACAATAGCTTAAAAACCGCTTGCCTTTTAAAACCGTTGCGTTAGATGCAGGGGCAACGGTTTAAAAAACCATCGTAATAGAGTTCAAAACCGTTATGGTAGAGGTAGGGCAACGGTAGCATATGAGACGGTTTGAGAACCGTCGTGCTTGCTCAAGGGCGACGGTTCCATGGCTAGCGCAACAGTTTTGAACCGTTGCGTTAGAGCAAATATGTGGTAGTGTTATGAGTAATATATAAAATTTATTCAAGATTCATCATGTAAATCCAAGTCTTAACCACATAAGTTGGACGTTCACATAAACATAATGACTGGAAGATTAATATAAGGAGGACAAAAAAGTATATGAGCTGACAATTCAATTTGCAAGACGAGTTATCAACAATGTATAGGTTCAGGTCATATGATATCACAACTGGAAATTAGATCTAATGAACATTTCCTATAGCTATTGAACTCAATAGCCAACACATCTCATATTATAAATCTACAGAGCATGTAAATCCAAATCTTAATCCTGTTCTTTTAACACCCCATGCATACACTCAAGTATCAACATACGTACATACACATGCACAAGACACATACACACATAATAAGACTTATAGCAATAATTTCCTTGTCATTTTCAATCATGCACAAGACACATACACATATACAGTCAAGTTTATATAGAATTATTATGAAGAAACTTTTGTGTGTTAAGCGCATAAAATATTTAAGCGCACAAGACACATACACACATACACACATACAATTAACTAACCTACCTCATAAAATCAAGAGTCCTCAGCATCGTCAAGTTCCCTCCTCTGCATGCCACTATTGCTTCCTCCATCAAGTCTAGCCTGAAAATAAATAGATTTACATTTAGAGAATGAAATTCAACAATATAAGACAAATTATTAATTAACCTGTACGCCATCGTCTAAATCTAATTGGTCCAAAACTTCTTCAAATAATTCAGCTGAAATCTTCCCGGACAAGCATAAAATGATGTGTGTAAAAACATCGTCGCTAGTAGGGGATGGAGGCAAATCTGAACACATAGTCGTCGTCATCTACATGAGTAATGTATGGTCGATCTTACCACGTAGATAACGGTTGACGTGCATAATTGTAGAAGTGGTGTGAGTTCTGTTTGATGATGTTATCACAGTCGAGGTTGTCGAGGACGCCGTGGAGGATTTTCTGGAGGTACCCCGCTGAGCTCCAACCCTCATTAATGGAAATCTACCCCGGTTATTATACCCCATCACGTTCATTGCAATGGCATTATTTTCCTCTCTAGACAAGACATGAGGGTCATCAGCAGCTTCTTGGGTAGCACGTAGTGCTGCATCCTTCGACGTGACAGTAATATTATCCTAAATCACATAAGAAAAATATCAAATATATTGAATTGTCAAATAATGAATGTGCCACTGTAAAAAGCAGTGGGTGGAAATGCGAATTTTTTTTAAGAAGCCTGATTTCAAAGTATAATAGTTTAAACTATTAATTAATGAAATGTACAACGTAATAGTTATTATTTAATGATTTATTGAAAAATAATTACCACCAACACCATGTTTTCTTTAATCTTGTCTTCATTTTTATATGTTGAGTGAAAGGTGTCGTAAGCTAACTTTGCCTTCAAATTGATCGGCATTATGAGCTTCCCCTACAAAATATAATAGTAAATGTCAAAAAGTTTGGTCATATTGAAGGTTGTAGCATGTGAATACAACAACGTAAATATTATACCGTGTCTCGACAATAACTATACTCAAGATTGGCAAAGGACGTCGATCCCAAGTGGTGGTCAAGCTTCCGCTTGCTATGTCGGTTCGTCGAGCCCTTCTTAGATTTATTCTTATTAAAAAAGGTGTTAAAAATGAATTGCATTTACAATATGCTTTTTGTGACGCCCCTGGGTTCACACAAGGCTGCAGTCCAAGGTGAAACCAAAAATGTCAAACCTACCTTGCACCACACCGTGCAATAACATGTCTCACCATCACAATTAACATCTGTCTAGTGGAATCAATAACAGGTGTAGGTACAAAAGCAAGTTAAAGATATTGCAAGTCACAACTGATGGAATAATAGTGATCACATAGTATTTCATCATCCAACATACAGGAATATAAAATCAATGTCTGAAATGAACAAACTGGAGTTCTTAATACATCCCAAATACAACAAGTCTGAGTAAAGGAAATAAGGCACACAGCCTTTAAAACATCTAGGAATAAAGTCCTCAACCGTCTAAACCAAGTCTATAGTGGAGTTCCATAATAAAACATAGCTAGAATAGACAGTCGAACACTAAAGTGTGTCGTCATCAACCTGCGACTCTCCGGGCTCCTGGCTCGTGACCTGAAAGGGGGAGGGACAACGAGCGTCAAAGCGCTAGCGAGCAACATCACAACCAACCCCAATGGAGAGGGCTCGTTGTATAAGAAAATACAGTTANATGTCTCCGAACATATATATATTGTATTATGTGACGTCCCACATAATTACCATGTCGTATTTGACATAAGTGTCATATCATACTCTCCATATATGTGGTGTCATATTCTTCATAAGTGTCATGTCATAACTCATGTGAAAAGTCGCATGCATGGTTAATAAAGATGTCCAGTACATGAATTAGATATAGAGATTTCCCAACACGTGAGATAAATGGATAATTGCCCAACACGAGGACTGAAATGGATTATAGTCCAACACGAGGACTTCTATGGATTATAGTCCAACACGAGGACTGTGCAACTGAGCAAGTATTAGTGATATACAAGGCATGGTTTACTTATGCAAAACTCACACTCAACTCGTCGTGTGATTCTAGGCAAGTATTTCAGGCCATCTATCATGCATAGATGCTTAGTACAACTGAAGATCAAAGTTAGGTGATCGAGGCAAGCGCTCTAACGAGTGTACTAAACAGCAAAAATAAACAGGGCAGGAAAACTGTGCGGCGGTCGACCGCAGAACCCACTCCGGTCGACCGCTCGCAGGCCCGAGAACTACTGGGCTCAGAAGCTGAGCGGCGGTCGACCGCAGAGGTCATGCCGGTCGACCGCCCAAAGCGCAGAAACGATTCTGCAGGCAGGAACGCGCGACGGTCGACCACTGAGTCCTATGCGGTCGACCGCTGGGCGGACAGAACCTCATTCTGGGTTCTGTCAGCTACCGAACTCATACAAAAACTTGGGGATTTCTATACCCATTATACTATAACCTTTTAATAGAGAACTATGGCAATAAACAACAAGTTTAAATGGTTAAAACCTCATTATCAAAAATCCCAAACCTTAAACAACATGATTTTAAAAGTTCTTAAATAGTAAAAATGAGTTTAACTCTCATAAAAGTGTTTCAGATCAAAAACTCATTTAATTAAACATCATTAGTGAACTT